CCCAGTGCACGTTCACTGACGTTTCGGTTGCAGTCGCCACGGCGACCCCTCTCACCGAGACGGCTGCTGCGGTCCACCCGCAGCAGCGCTCGCGCCGCGGTGGTCGTGATCGCCAGGGAGGTAGGGGTGGTGGCGCAGGTGATGGTGGTGGTGGTGGTGGTAGTGGTGGTGATGGTAGTCAGCCTGCGGGGACTAGCACAGGTGGGCAGGAGGAGCAGCCCCAGCCGCAGCAGGAGCAGCCCCAGCCGCAGCCGCCGCCCCAGCAGCAGCCGCCGTCCCAGCAGCAGTCGCCGCAGTAGTGGGCCCGTCTCCCGGCTGGCTGGCCCGTCACCTCCGGAGGTAGTGGCCGTGGTGGCGGCCCCCAAAGCTTGGTGTCCACCGGTGGCTCCGGTGCTGTCACCTGCCAGTACTAGCTTCAGACCGGGCCTCTTCGCGGCACTCTGTGCCGCCGCCAGCACCCGGCCGCCCGCTGTTTCCGCCGCCTCGACGATCTCTTTCGTCGTCGCTTTGGCCCGGCCCCGGACCTCCCCGACTGGCACAGCCTGCTCCGCCAGGGCGTGCCGCTCTTTGAGTTAGACATGGATCAGATAGGTGTTGCTTTGTATGCTTTGTATTCTGACGCTGCTAGTGTTGCTGGATCTTATTACCCTGTGTACTCTAGTTTAGGTGTTGCACCATTGTGTAGCTTAGCCTCCCCTGCTGCGTCAGGCGTAGGAATGCCTAGCTTGCCTAGTCTAGTCGCTGCACCGGTCCCGTCCCCGGCCTCCGCCACTGCGTCGCTGTCCTTCACTCTCGACTCCGGTGCTTCTGCCTGCTTCTTCTGCGACCGTTCCATGCTCACATCGCTTGCTGCGCCTGCTGTTGTCTCTCTCGCTGACCCCTCTGCGGGTCCTGTCATCGCTCGCAGTTCTACGTCCCTTCCCTGTCCAGCAGTTCCCCCGGGCTCCCTTACTGGCCTCCACGTTCCCTCGTTCTCGAGGAACCTGGTTGGTGTCGGCTGTCTCTAGGACCTCGGCGTCACCACAACGTTCCCCGGGCATGAGCGGTTCGCTGTCTGTTCTGAGGTTGTCTCAGGTTCCCCCCTTGCGACGTTCCCCCGAGACCCAGTGTCCGGTCTGTTTACCCTCGACACCGCTTCCCCCCCGGTTGGTGCGTCCTCCCAGGTTGCTGCAGCTTGCTCGTGTCGGTCCCTCACTCACCCGTCCCTTCTCTGGCACCACCGCTTAGGTCACTCTGCTCTCCCGCGTCTGCGTCACATGTCCCAGCACGGTCTTGTCTTCGGTCTCCCCGCGTCGCTCCCTGCCCTTCCTCCCTCGACTGCGCCACCGTGCACGCCTTGCGTCGAGGGTCGGCTCCGCCGCGCTCCTCACTCCTCCTCACTGCGCCTTGCTACTGCCCCCCTTCAGACCCTGCACCTGGACATTTGGGGCCCTGCCCCCGTCCCCGGACCGCGCGCTGAGCGCTACTTCCTTGTGCTCGTCGACGACTACACGCGCTACACCACGGTGTTTCCCCTGGAGCGGAAGGCCGACGTGGCTGACGTTCTTCTCCGGTGGGTTGTGGCTGCGCGTCTCCGCCGCGGTCTCCCCGTGTTGTGTCTCCACTCTGACCGTGGCGGCGAGTTCGCCTCTGGTCGGCTTGGACAGTTTTGTCGTGCGGAGGGCATTACCCAGTCGTACACCTTGCCGGACTCGCCACAGCAGAATGGGGTTGCTGAGCGCCGCATCGGCTTGGTCATGGAGGTCGCCCGAACCTCCATGATCCATGCCGATGCACCCCATTTTCTGTGGCCCTTCGCTGTTCGCTACGCTGCTCACTAGCTTAACCTGTGGCCACGCTCCCAGCGGCCGCAGGTTTCGCCGATCCTTCTTTGGACTGGGTCCCCCGGTGACGCGTCTGCGTTCCACGTCTGGGGCTGCCTTGCTCATGTTCGTGCCTCTGGCACGGACAAGCTCACTGCCCGCACTGTCCCCTGTGTCTTCCTCGGTTTCCCCCTGGACTCGTCTGACTGGCTTTTCTACCACCCGCCGTCTCACCGCTTCCTCCACTCTCGTGACGTCACCTTTGACGAGTCTATCTCCTTCTACCGTCGCTTCTCTCACCGAGGTCTCCCGGTTGCCCTGCCCCTGTTCCTCGCTCCCTCTCCCCCGGTAGCCCCTACTCCTCTCCCGCCTCGTCCTGCCCCGTCTGGTGTCTCTCACGTCACTCCCCTCCCGTCGGTTGTCTCCGTTGAGGAGTCTGCTGACTCTGGTAGTTCCCCCGGCTCGTCTCTGTCGCGTCCCCCTTCCCCGGTGTCTCCGCCTTCCGTGCCGTCGTCGCCGCCGCCGCCGCCGTCGCAGTTGCAGTGACCGCCACCGCCGCAGCCGATGTCGCCGCCGCCGCCTCCGCCGTTGGCCTCTGGGGGTACTGGCGTTGACGAGGGTGTTTGTCCTGCAGCTCCCGGGGGTGCCGCTGGAGTTGGAGGGGGTTCTTGCTCTGGGGGTGTTGGTTCTGGGGGTGCTGCTGTTGAGTGTTCTGCCGACGGTCGTTCTGCCTCTCCTGGTCCGAGGGTTCCAGCCCAGCCGTCGTCGCCGCCGCAGCAGCCGTCGCCGCCGGTCTCCGCTCTCCGCCTGCTCGGCCTTCCCTCCCCGGACCGTGCGACGGTGTCTCCCCCACCGCCTGCTGACCTTCCTGTCTACGGTCCTGAGTTCCCGCCGCCAGACTCGTCTCCGGCCTGTCTTCCTCCTCGTTCCCCTCCTGTGTCTCCTCCGCTGTCCCCTGAACCTACCCCTCCGTCTCACGTCTGGGCTCGCCGTCCCTCCCGTGCTCGTCCCGTCTCTCCTGTCCTGCGCTCCCACCCTATGTTGCTCCGTTCCCACTCGTCTCGTCCTCCCCTCCTCCCATCCCCTCCTCCCTCGTCCCTTGCTGTCGCACCTCCTCCGTTCTCTGACTACCTTCGTGCCACTCGTCCCCTTGTCCCTCAGGTCCTTGCCTCTCTTTTTACCGACCCTGCTGTTCATGTGTCGCGCCTTGACGCGCTTGTCGCTGCTGTCGCTGACTTCGCCTCTACCCGCCGCCTTGACTACGCTACCGCTCTGGTCTCTGACCCTGCCCGTCCTCCGTCCGTCGGGGGTGCTCCTGCCCTTGGCAGTGACGTCCTAGAGGACACGCAGTACGAGCTTGCTTTCCTTTCCGAGGCTGCTCCCCATCTCTGCTCCATGCTGTTAGTCCCTCGCGAGTGGCACGATACGCTGTGGGCCACGTTAGCAGACCTGCAGTTCTTTCCGTCCTCTGCTGACCCCTCGCTGTTTGTGCATTCCGGCAAGACTCCGTTCTATATCCTTGTCTACGTAGACGATCTGGTCTTCGCTACTGCTGACAGGGAAGCACTGGCCTCTGTGAAGGCCGAGCTTCTGAAGAGACACACCTGCACTGACGTTGGAGAGCTGCGTCGCTATCTTGGCCTGCAGATCTCTAGGGACAGAGCAGCACGCACCATCACTCTGACTCAGTCACACTTGGTTCGTCAGGTCCTTTAGGGGTTCGGTCTTCAGTTCTCCTCCGCACAGCCCACACCTCTACCTGTAGACCATGGGCTCTCTGCTCCCGTTCCTCAGGAGCCAGTAGAGCCCAGTGGCCCCTACGCAGAGCTGGTGGGTTGCCTCATGTACCTGATGACTTGCACTCGCCCTGATCTCGCATTCCCTCTCAGCATCCTGGCTCGCTTTGTGGCTAAAGGCAGACACCGACCTCAACACTGGTCTGCCGCTAAGAGGGTTTTGCGTTATCTTGCTAGTACATCGGGCATGGGGTTAGTGCTAGGAGGACGCAGGCCAGTGGTCCTTACTGGGCACATAGACGCTTCTTGGGCAGACGACTCTGAGACGCTCAGGTCGTCGCAGGGCTACTGTTTTAGCCTTGGTTCGGGTGCTATCTCTTGGAGATCCACTCGCTCGTCGTCTGTGGCTCAGTCTAGCTGTGAGGCTGAGATTTACGCTGGTGCCATGGCGGCACAGGAGCTCCGTTGGCTGACCTTCTTGCTCACAGACTTAGGTGAGCGGCCTAGCTCTGCCCCGGTCCTGTACGCTGACAACAGGGCCATGATACTCCTGTGTCAGGAGCCTCGGCTTGAGGGCAGAGCGAAGCATATCCAGCTGCGGTACTTCCTCCTGCGCGAGCTACAACATCGCCGCCAGGCCCGCGTAGTTCACTTGGCCTCAGGTGCCAAAACAGCTGGTATCTTTACTAAGGCGCTTGCGCCTAAAGATCATCAGCGGCACTGTGTACAGCTTGGTCTTGTTCCTGTAGCTACTTACCTGTTAGGATCCTGATTGTGTACTCTCTATTATATATGCCTGTCAGACTGGCCTTGTGGCCTTACCTCCAATGGCTGGACTAGTAGTGCCGCCCTGGCTTGCTTTAGCTTTGTTTGTATTCTTGCTGACTGGTCTCCAGACCCCTGCCTCAGTGGTTGGACTAGTAGTGCCACCCTGAGCTGTTTGCTTCTTGCTTAGCTTCACCCCTTGTCTAGCCTAGGGGGTGTGTCAACTTATACATATTAGCTATATAGAAGTTATAGGCTAGACTGAGGTATGCTTCTAGTGAGTACAACCAATTAGTATTTGTTCTAGGGTTCCACTTCTAGTCATCATTCAGTTCTCACTTTAACATGTTCCCCTTCCATATTGTTCCAATACCGGTAGCTCTCAGATGGATCGCTATCCGTAACACATCACAAGAGCTAAAGCAATATTCCACCAACAGCTTATGCCTTGAGCCGAGTGTGTCAAAATCATCCTGCATTGAGTCCCTTGCCTTTAATACTCATTAAGTACTCATACTATATGCCTTGAGTGAGAGCACAAGAACCATCCTGCATCTTAAGAGTGACTGCATGACGCTTTTAGAACCCTCAATGTGTGTTTCCACCGGTGAGCGGAGCTAGTCATAGCGGGTATGCCTGTGTGATCTCATGCTGCCCTGGCGTGCGTGACACCTCTTCGGCCCAGCAAAAAGTGCTAATCTCATCGTCAGTCTTACCGCGCGTCTTCCTTCGTTCCTCCGACTGCTTTGGCTAGCTTTGAGTATTATTGCAGTACGTTAGCTGAGTCGTTATCTGCAAGCCGCCTGCCGATCAGCTGTCTCAGCGAACCCGAGTCGTGTTTGGTTTGCTCTCACATAGCTCCGATACTAGTTGCAGTGGTACTAGTTAATTCGAGTCTGTAAAGACGCCGTTATGCTGTCTCGGTGGCGGAAGAAAGGCGGCTCCGACAGCATCGCTTCAGCACATCCGCACGTCACCTCCCACAGGGCTGCCGAACCTCCTCCGGCAGGTTCGGACGTCCCGGACCACAGATCAGATGCCGAACCGGAGCCTGAGCCTCGGGCTCCAGCTCCGGCATCCCCTCCTCGAGTGGATATGGTTGGGGAGCTGCAGTCGCAGCTGCAGGCGGCGGTTACGCGTAACCACTCGCTAGAATCTAAGATCGATAGGGCGCTTCGGGACGCTCGGGAATCGCGGAAGCAGAAGGAGGAAGCTGAGGTGGCAGCGGCGGAAGCGGAGAAACGCGCAGCGGAGCAGAAACGGGAAGCGAAAGCTGCCCGGGAGAGGGTGAACTCACTGGAAGAGCAGGTGCGGGCAGCTGAAGTGGTTTCCAGGCAGCTGAGGAAGGATTTGGAGTTGGAGAAGCAGGAGAGGGAGCTACTTTCGTGGAAGCTTCAAGAAGCGGAGGAAAACGCGGCGGGATTGAGGGCCCAGGCTATGCAAGCAGATGGACAGGTGGAATTGGCCAAAGCAGAGGTGGCAGACGTGGAAGCCAGGGCCAATCACCTTGTGACACGTCTGCAAGCTGAGCTGGAGGAGATGAGGTTGAGGTGTGCTGACCTGGAAGTTGAGATTGAGGGGGCTAGAGACAGGGTATCCCTGGCGGAATTTAGGCTATCGGAGGAAGTTGCCCGGGCAGAGTCGTTGGTTGGTGAGGCGGACGAGCTGACCGGGAGGATGCGTGCAGCTGAAGAGCGGGCAGGTGAAGCAGAAGAGAGGGCTTCCCGGGCAGAGAAACGGGCAGAGGAAGCATTGAGACGGGCAGAAGCGGCTGAAAGGGAGCTTGAGAGGTTAGGGAAGGGAAGGAGGGAAGTGTTGAAGGGGAGGGAAGGTGAGGAAAGGCAGGAAGGGGAGGCAGGTGGGAGGAGGGTAAGAGGGGCGGAGAGCGAGAGCAAGGGAGTTGCAGCAGCAGGGGAGGAGGTGAGGAGGACAGGCGGAGGAGAAGAAAATGATGGGAAGGAGGAGAAAGAGGGGGAGTGAGGAGAGTGAGGGCATTGAAGGGAAGAGTTGTTGAAGGGAGGGGGGAGGACTGGGGAGGTGGGGAGAGGTGGTTGAGTGCGAGTGAATGGGAAGAGGAAGGGGAGGGAGGAAAGGATGGCAGAGAAGTGATTTCACCTGAATCGGCACTGGATAGGTGCTGCTTACGATACAGTGCTTACTTGCCGTAGCCTCGTCGCGGGTGTTACCGGTGTTACGCAAGAATGGTATACCCATGCTTGCTAGATTGACCTGTTCTGCAGAGTTGATATTCGGGCAATAGGGGATGGCTGGACTATTAGGTTTAGGTAGTAGATGGTAGAGTAGGCAATCTTAATCTCTCATTCTATCATTCCCTCTTTTGCACTCAAAGGCAGGGTGTCAGTCAGGGCAAGAATGGCCTCATCAGCACGAGCATGAGCATTCTAGGGTACAGATACAGGGTAAGGTTACAGTTGTCTATTTTGTAGGCAGCTAATATTTTTGCAACAGCAGCATACTAGGGTACAATTGCATGATAATGTAATACCGGTATCTGTGAGCAACTAAGCAGGCAATAGCAAGAACAGCAGGAGCAATTGAAGAGGGCATACAGCAGGGCCAGACCTTCCCTCGGGGCAAACCCTCCTGGGAATATCAAAACCCAACCTCAGATAAAAAGAGGGGATCCACACAACCTTCTATAGAAACATGAGGCTGCCAAATAGGAGTACAGCAATCCAGAGCCTATGTCCTCCCAGACCGGGCAGCCGCCCCCCACCACCACCTGCAGACTTATTGCCGGAGCTCCCCATCTTGGCTTCATCCTCTATCTTTTCCTCCAGGTACGGGTCGCACAGCGCCACACTCACACACACCCCATGCACCAGCGGGTGGTTCACCGTCCGTTTCTCAACTTCCACCAGACACGCGTACCCTTGGTTGCACAGCACTGCAGCGCCCTCCCCTCCAAACGAGCAGTTGCTCCCAGCCTTCCCTGCAGCAGGTTTGGCAGCAGGCACGGTTCCCGAGCCTCCCAAGACAGCCCTGGCAGAGACACCGGAGCCTGCAGAAGTTGGTGCCGAGAGGAGGTCCGGCGAGACGTTCGGGCCGAACCATTGGCTCGGGGCACAGATGCCTTCGTAGGGAATGACCCCCCCAGTTGACTTGATAAAATCCACATTGCTTGCATTGCTCATAGGCGTTATGGGGCGATTACCAGCGGTGGTGTCGCTGATGTTGCTGCAGTTAAGAGCAGCGGACATAGCGAGGGGATTGATGAGCGATTCTAGGGTTTCAGGAGGGAGTTGCACGCCTCCCTCCAGGGCGAGCACGCAGGTATACCCCCTGGGGCACGGCATGTCGCCATGGTACTGCCCCTTGGCGCACATGTAAGCACACGTTGAAGGCTTTTCTAGGGGCCCAGGGCCGAGACTAGGCACGGATGTAGCACCAGAGGAGGGGGCGCGGGGGATTGATGAATTAGGGGTAGATGGTGACGTGGCGTTGGATGGAGCTGACGTGGATGGGGACGAGGATGACGTGGACGAGTCATCTGGAACGCACTTGCCCGTGGTGGCGAAGTCCGGGTTATTGGTCAGAGCCTGAGGTCCGGCACCAAAGTTGCCAGGCCTGGCGAGAGGGTTCGGGTTAGGCTCGGAAGTAGGCTCGGAGGCGACAGCGGTGGAGGCGTCGGGTTGGCATTTGAGGCCCGGGGAGCAGTCAACGGGCATGATGTTGCCGCCATACCGGCATGGGGCGCCCAGAGTAGCGGCGGCAAGGGACCGATGCGTAATAGATGCAGAATCTGAGAGGAAACGGGGGCAAGGCAACGGAAGAGCGTTTGGGCATGATGTTGCCGCCATGGCGGAAAGGGGAGCCCAGAGTAGAGGCGGCGAGGGACCGATGGTGCACAGCGGAAGTGGATTTTTGAGTCGACTCAAAAATCGACCGATGGTGCACAGCGGGAGTGCCTGGAGGGAAGAGAAAGGGGAAAGACAAGCAAAAGCCGTTTCGCCATGATTTTGCCGCCATAGCGAGAAACGGAGACGCAATAGCGGAGGCGGGAGAGCGATGGTGAGCGGGGAGGACGCATTTTTGGTGAAAACGGAGTGAAGGGAGGACGGGCTTTGTGGTTGAGGGGTGGGGGACCCGGGGGAAAGGGGGTCGTTAGTGCGAGACTCTGGGGAAGAAGGGAGGGCGGATGCGGGAAAAGGGAAGGGCATTAGAAGCATCAGGCATCGAGCCCCCGACCACCAAACCCGGGCATACGTTGGTCTCTGGAGCGTACCTCGGGCACTCGAGTCTGGACCCGGGCGGCGCACGGACGCTGAAGCGGCAGACGCGCAAGCCAGCAGGTGGAGGACTGACGCGCATAGCCCGAGCGGCGCAATAGCGAGCACTGCCCTCCGCGGCGTGCAGACGCGGCCGGTCATTGCTGGCGCGTTTGCCGCGTTCGCCGCGCCTGAAAGCCTGCTTTCGGAAACGCTGTGCTGCGGATCTTGACGTGCCTCGGGAACAGCGCGGCGGACCACAGCGCGCGCGGCGAGAGGGGGAGAGGAAGGAAATGGCCGGACGGGATAAGAGGACGCGAGGCAGTGAGGTATCGAGGCAGCAGTGGAGGAATCGCGAGCTTGGAAATACCTAAAAACGAGGAAGTCTACAGCGAGATACGTTAGAAGCGTTCGCCGCAGCGGCGGTCTGTTCTGCGCATATAGAACATAAGGAGGCTGGTTTTTACGGGCATGCTTGAGAATATCAACTGAAGGCGTCTCAAGAAAGTAAGCGGGTGTGAGAATGACCGTCAAACAGGTGGCTAATAGTCGCTCTACTCCGTCGCGACTGTATCTTGGAGTCACGACACCAACTATGGACCGAACTTCCAAGGAGACTAGCGATGAGACTAGTGTAAGGGGCGAAAGCGAAACAGGAGAGCCAGTTGCAAAAATATACGCCGAGCGACAGGCTAGGAAAGCAGCCAAGTGACGAGACGAGGTGACTGCCTGACAGGCTTCTTCTTTTCTGCTCAACACAGCACGAGGTAAACTCCAGGCGTCACCCTCGAGCCACGCACAACGCAAGATTGAATGGCCGCCTCGCTGGGGGAGTTCCGCTTCATCAATCACCGCGAGGCGGAGAAATCGAAGCGGAAAATTCCCGTGGTGTGTGGTGTGGAGGTGCGGTCGGAATTCCGGAAATGGGTCATCGGGATTCTCGAGGAGAAGTGGGGGTGATGGTGGAGCATTACGGCGCATACAGTGGAGTAGAGGGGGGTAGTTTTGCCTAGTGGGGGCCTATTGAACGGGCCGAAATCTGAACCCTAGGGAGGGACGAGGGCCAAGGGAGCATTCGGCAAGAACGGAAGCACGCTACAACGCGGAGCGCGCAACTGAAGTTCGCTTTCCGCGGGCTTTGTGGGTAACATTTGGTGACGTGAAGGGAGGTACGGAACGGTATGTAAAAACTTGTAGCGGTTCTAAAACGTTAAACTTCGGTGCTGCGGTCCATGCTGCTTACTTTCCTTATCCCCCCCAGCACCCAGCCTTGCTAGCTAGGTTTCTTTCACAGGCCCCTTTTTCCCCTCGCGCAGCCAGCGCGCTGCCGTCCGTCAGCTATCCCCCTCGATATGATCTTCCCCTCAATCTTCTCCCTTCTCCCTGCTACGCGAATCACGATACTGTATCGAGGGGCTGACGTCAGGTGCGTGCGAAAGGTGTATGTGGACCATGTCGTTTCCCGTCAAATGGTCGTCCAAAACGAGTCGCGCGCGACCTTGTCCTAGAAATCCTCCACGACGATTGGCTTAGACTCGCCAGACAGACCCTGAGCGATTCGTCGATGTCGCACTACCGAGAGCGGCCCGACTGGCAGGCTGGTAAAACATGCAATAAAACATGGAATTTCATTTACTGGCTGCGAACTTCAGTATGTATTCACAACTCGTCACATCACATCACATCTTGAGATTGAGGGAGCACAAGAGATATGCACACGACTATGGCAAACAAACAAATGCATATCCAGGAGAACCAAACAGGCAGGAGCAACTGTATGCTTTATCTATTGGTAGGGTGACAAATATAGGCTGCATGCATGAGAAAGTGAGGTGTACAAAGCCAGACAAAGGAGGGTACCATAGGTTCCTCCAGCATACCATTAATCCTTGCTGTTATGCTACGGCAATGATTTCTTGCATCTTGTGTTACTGTCGATCGTGCATTCAACACTATTCTTATAATAAAACTCTGTCCTTATTGGCTTTCCGCGGCCTGCAAAACGAAACCACCGCATCAAAGACTCATGAGGAATCCCACACAACAAGAAATAACCTCCAGCCACAATTACTTCTACCCACAAATCTCAACGACCCCAGAAACAAGCTCTCACCAAAAAAAAAATTCTGACGCCCGTCTCTCACCTGCTGCTGCCTGCGCGACCCAAACCCTCCTCGGATCTCCTCAGTGGACTTGGGCCGAGGTGTCGCCGCATGCACTGCCCCCGACCCAAATGCGCCCTCGCTCTCCTTGGTGCGCCCTGGAGGGATGTGGTGGGAAATGGTGGGGTATGGTTGGTTAGGGTGCATACACTTGAGAATGCAGTGTGCTCGCGTGCACTGCCCCCGACCCAAACACACTCTCACTCTCCTTGGTGCGCCCTGGTGTGATGATGGGGGGAATGCCAATTTTTTAGGCGCCTAAAAAATCGTCTCCTTGGTGAGCCCTGGTGTGATGATGGGGGGAATGCCATCGGTGACATGCAGTGTGACTGTATGCAGTGTGTTCACATGCACTTCCCCCGACCCAAACCGCCCTCGCTCTCCTCGGTGTTCCCTGGAAAGGCAATGGTGGTAGGTGGGGGAGGGGACGGGGGGTAACGATACATGCTACTGGTAGCGCCCACAGTGGGACAGCATACACTGCTTCCAACCCAAACTGCCCTCACTCTCCTCGGTGAGGCCTGGTGATGTGGTGGTGGGGGGGGGGGGGGGGAGACTAGCGTGACATGATAAGATTAACCACATATGTACTGGGGCTGGGGTACGGCATGGACAATGAGCAATGGGCACGCAAAACTGCCCGCATGCATGTCTGGACTGCCTGCAAGTTTGACTAATCGCATGCAGGGCCATAGGACTGCGTGACTGTATGGAAGACAGGTGTACCTCGGGAGTTGCTACGGTGGAAGCTGAAGAGCCCCTTCTTGCCGCCCGCACCGGCAGCAGCGGGATGGGGAGTGGTGACCGCCCCGTCCGGTGTGCTTGGGCTGTCGCACGACAGAGACGTGTCGAGACTGAGGTCCAGTTTCTCTGGAGAACGGCATGTGGGGAGAGACATGGAGAGACACGGAGAGAAATAGAGGGAGTTTAAGTCGGCTCCTGCCATCCGGTGTTGGCTCCTATCCCTCCTACCACAGGAGCAAGGGACAAGTGAGGCATGCGTCAAGAGTGACGCTCGGTTCGGTCGGGGAAGGACCTGGCCTGCACCTAACTGGCCTTGTGCCCCCAACGCGCATACTCACACCTTGTGGCAACTCTACACACGTTGCGTGCACTTGCTTCATGTAGACACCTGCTCTGCACACACTCGCACACACCCGACCGCCCACACACACCCACACACACGCCCCCGCACACACCCGCCCGCACACACCCACCCGCACACATGCCATCTGCGATGCCTGTCACCTGCCCCCTTCCCTCGCACTTCAACGCCCCACTTGACTCACCTCTTTCGTTGAAGCTTCCTGTCTGTGTCTTCTCCTCCTCCCCCTCCCCCTCCCCCTCCCCCTCCTCCCCTTCCTCCCCCTCCGCAACAGGCGCAGCGGGGGCGAAGGGAGAGGAGGCGAAGAGGGGGGGGAGGTCAGAGGCGGCGTGGAGAGCGGCAGGGGGCAGTTTGGGGGTGCTCTGGAGCAGCTTGAATGTGCCACTGTTGCGCAGTACCTGGTGGGGGCGGGGGGAGAGGACTAGTTTTGAGGCGCCTCAAAACTAGACTTCTATCATGCGGTTTTTGAGGCGCCTCAAAACTAGACTTCTACCACGCGGTTTTTGAGGTGCCTCAAAAGTGCTCTGGAGCAGCTTGAACATGTCACTGTTGCGCGGGACCTGATGGGGGCGGGGGAAGAGGGGCAGGGGGGGGGGTGTGGAAGAGGCAGGAGGGGAGGTAAAAGAGAGAGGGATGTCGGAGGCGTGGATAGCAGCAGGGGGAAGTTTGGGGGTGCTCCAGAGCTGTTTAAACGTACCACTGTTGTGACGGACCTGATGAAGGGGGGGCGGTGGGGGGGGGGGGGGGGGGAGGAAGACAGGCAGGGCAGCAGGGGCAACGGATCAGGAGGCGAAGATGGGGGGAAGGTCAGAGTCGGGGTGGAGGGGAGCTGAGGACACTTTGAGGGTGCTCTGGAGCAGCTTGAATGCGCCACTGGTGCCAAGGACCTGATGCAAGGCGAGGGCCGAGGGGTGGAACAAGAGGGAGAAGGGGGAGCTGTAAGCGATGGATGGTGGTAGGAAGAATGGGGGGAGAGGAGGGAATGGGGAGTTGGAGAGAAGCTGGAGTATTTTGAGTCGACTCAAAATACACCTGAAGCTGGAGGGGGGACGGCCTGAGAGCCAGGGGCGAGGGGGGGACGGATGGGGAGAGGAACAATGGCTAGAGAGGGGGGGATTCAGTGGGAGGGGAAGAGAGGGGCCCAGAGGTGAGCAACTTGTATGGTGAGGGCCACCAGCGCGTGCGTGCGTGTGTGTGTACTGTTTTGAGCAACGTGCGTGCATACCTTGGTGCCGCGGAGGAAAGGAGAGCCAGCTCCGGCTGACCCCTCTCCTGGCTGAATGAATCCGTCGCTCCTCACAGGCCCCAGAGCATCCCCCCCCCCACGGCTAGGCGACCCCTCATGCCCTGGCGACCCCTCCACCGCCCCTCCTCTCCTTGCCTCCATAAGCCCCCCTTCCGAACAAACCGCAGAAACACCAGGCGACGCAGCGAAAGCAGCACCGGCACCAGCGCCAGAAACAGCAGCAACGGCAGCGGCAGCAGCAGCAGCGGTGGCAGCGCCGGTGGCAGAGGAGGTGGCAAGTGGGGGGGCCGGGATGGACACTCGGATGGACGGGTCGATGAGACGAGAGAGCGAGTGAGGGAGGCTGGTGTGGGAAGGGGGGGGGGGGAAGTGGGGGAGGAAGTAGTAAGGGGAGGGAGAGGGACGGGTGGAGCAGAAAAAGGTAGAGGGGACTTGAGAGGAAATGGAAGGGGTGCAAGAGGTGCAAGAGGTGCAAGAGGTGCAAGAGGTGCAAGAGGTGCAAGAGGTGCAAGAGGTGCAAGAGGGGAACGAGAGGGTGGTGAGGTTTAGAATTATGGGAAGACCAAACACAGGGGGATATGAAAGAGAAAGGCCACCTTCCAACAGTCGACTGGGGTGAACGAGTCATCCAATCACATGCAATGTCGACCATTTACTCACCCAATGGCGTTTTCTCTTGCAAAGAGAGAGAGGCGGACCATCTCTGTCTCTCCGTCCAGCTGGCGTGGCGTGCGGCGATGGGAACGATGAGAAACGAGGAGGGGAGAGGAGATGAGGGGAGACGGGAGGAGAGGAGAGGAGAGGAGAGGAGAGGAGAGGAGAGTAAGGGAAAGGGAGGAGAGGGGAGGAGAGGAGAGGAGGGGAGAGGAGAGGAAGGGAGAGGAAAGGAGAGGAGAGGAGAGTAAGGGAGAGGAGGGGAGAGGAAGGGAGAGGAAAGGAGAGGAAGGGAGAGGAGGGGAGAGTAAGGGAGAGGAGGGGAGAGTAAGGGAGAGGAGGGGAGAGTAAGGGAGAGGAACAACGAGGAGAGCAGAGCAAGGAACAAGGAGGAGGAGCAGGAAGAAGCGGTAAAGCGGGATAAATTATGCGCGGAGAAGAAAAAAAGGGGGGGGGGGAAACAATGACTGGGTTTCGTAAGCTGTAGAATGGAGAAGAGCGGCAAAGATGGGACACTCACAAAGGCGATGCGGCCGTCAGTGGCGATACAGGTGAGTGGCAGCATGAGGAGACTGTCGTACTGCCAGCCCAGCATCTCAGACACCGACGTGGCTGTGATCAAGAGCAGGTCAGGCAGGGACCTGGGGGCAAAGGATGGGGAAGGTGAATGGTGTGCAGGGAGGGGTTGCAAACAAAGGGGCATCATTAGAAGACTGTCGTACTGCCAGACAAGCGTCTCTGATACCAAGGTGGTTGCTATCAGGAGCAGGTCAGGCAGGCAGGGACCTGGGGAGTGGGGAATGGAAAGGTGAATGGGCAGGCGGACATGGGAAGAACATGGCGGCATGAGTTGTCGTACTGCCAGCCGGGCATCTCCGATGCCTGGGGGGCTGGGGGATGGAGGCGGGGCGGGGCTGTGATGAGGAGCAGGTCAGGCAGGGACCTGGGGGAAGGAGAGGTTGAAGGCGAAGGAGTGGGTCGTGTGGGAATAATATGGTGGCATGAGCAGGGTGCATGCCACCAGGACATACCTGATTTGTTTTGAGACGTCTCAAAACAAATCTTCTTTCACCAGGCTGCATGCCACCAGGACATACCTGATTTCGACCAAGTCCCCGTGACGAGATGGTGATGATGGCAGGGGGGTAGTGCGGGTGTCACTAGGGTATTCCTGACAGGAGGGCCCAGCCCTCGCTCGTCATCTCCCTGCTCTCCTTGTCCTGGTGAGCTAGGCCATACCTGATTTCGACCAGCCCTTGCGAGGAGATGACGATGATGGCGGGGGGGTAGTGCGGGTGCGCCCCAAACGTGCCTGCCCACACGCACTTGTCGTTCTCAAAGATCTTCACGCGCTTCAGGGCCGACCGATCCGCCTTCGAGGAGAGGGGAGGGGAGAGAGAAGGAGAGCGAGAGCAGAGGATGGCAACAAAGGTTGGCCGGATACTAAGGAATTTCTTAATGGGGTGAGTGAGAGCTCAATGACAACTTAGGATGTGCTCTGCTGGATTCACCTGAAGCAGACAGTGCAACAGAGGCCCACCTGGAACCAACAGAGGCCCATCTGAAGCCAACAGAAGACCACCTGAAGCCAACAGAGGCCTACCTGAAGCCAACAGAGGCCTACCTGAAGCACAACCATGGTGGAATACAGCCGCAGACAGTCCTCTGACACCAGCAGCACAAACTGAGGCTCGGGCCAAACCGCATTCCCCGAGCCTGCGACGGAGGTCAGGGAGCGCTTGAACATAGCTGAGGTCCGGTCCTGCGCCGAGCCAAAGCCAGAGTAGCCGCCAGTAGCGGCGGCCGAGGGTAGGTGTGACCCCATCCCTAGTGCTCCCCCTCCTCCTCCTCCTATGGAGCTCATACTCATGCTCGGCCCATGTGAGACAGTCACTCCCCCTCCACCCCCACCCCCACCTCCTCTTTCTCCTCCTCCTCCTCCTCCTCCCCCTGCTGCTGCGAGTGCTCCAGCGTTAGTAGGCGAAACTGGAGAGAGGGAGAGCGAAATGGGGTCACTGTCACTCCCCCCTGTCGTCCCCCCTGAACCCCCCCCCCTCTGCCCGCCCCCTCCTCCGCCTATCGCCCCGTTCCCATCCGAATGCCCCCACCCCCCTTGCTGTGACTCTCTCTCTAGGTCGCCACTAGACACTATGTTAAAGCTAAGACTGCCGCCCGGCGTTAGCTGGATGCTGATTCGCGGGCCGCCCCGGGATCTAGGACTCGGGACGGAAACGCCTCCGTGCTGACCGGACGCTGAGTCAGCACGGGCGGCAGAGCTTGGACTGTTCTCAGGGCCGTGGGTGGAGGAGGCGGCGGAGGGGTCAGTGGTTGCGGCTGTGGTGTCTAAAGTAACGGACGGCAGCTTTTTAGGGTTTCGCCGCCCGGAAGGAGGTTTGGCCATATCGTCGCGCGCATGAGGGGGTTTAGGGGGGTCAGACGGGTGTTGTTGTGAGGAGGAGGATGATAAAGAGGAGGAGGAGGAGCGGGTGTGAGGGTCAGTGGCTTGCGATTGTGAGCTGTCTTCTGCCCCTTCTGCTGCTGCTCTTGATCGCCGCCCTTTCATTCCACTCCGCTTCCCCACCCGCCCTTCCTTCCCCCCCTTTCCCCCTCTCCTTCCCCCCTCCTCCCCCCCATCCACCCCGTCATTCGCCCCCCCATGCCCGTCCCTATACCCCTCCCCGTCCCCCCCTCCCCCTGCCCCCCCTCTCAGCCCCACCCCATCACTCCCACGCCTCTCCCTCCCATGCGGAGACCGCAGGCTCAGGTCGCTAGGTTCGGCGGAGTGTGCGTCGGAGGTTCGGGAGGCTACCGAGCCTGCAGCAGTGGCTCGGGAGTTGAGGCCTCGGGTGAGAGAGGGCTGCTGCATGGCCCAGAGGAGGGGCAGCTTGCCGCCAAACGATGGAATGGTGGAACCCATTAGGTCTGACGGGCGGGAAGGGAAGGGAAGGGAAGGGAAGGGAAGGGTATGGAGAGAGAGTGCAGGGAAGAGAAGGGGAGGCAGTAAATGGGTGAGCAGGAAGTGGAATCAGCAGCGGCAACAGCAGCAGCAGTGCAGGGAGGAACAGACCAACAGCGCTGGACGCGTGTTTGGGCTGGGCGGCGTGGCCCCAAGCCCATGACATCCCCGGTCGTGCCAAACGCAGTAGATGCACCGTCACCTTCCAGGTCTTAAAGCACTCACCCAGCAGGAAGAGCCCGACAGCACCGGATGCATGCTTTGGCTGCATGGGTCCCACGCCCATCACATCCCCCGTCGTGCCGTCCAGTATCGTCATAGTCGTATTGGCAGCCGCCACATACACCACCGTCTCATACGCCGTCGACGCCCCTCCCCCCACCCCCCCGCCCGCCCCCACGCTCCCCCTCCTCTGATTCCCCGCGCTCCGGGCAGAGGGCGCGTCAGCAGCGGGAGCCGCAGCAGCGGCAGCAGCGGACGACGAGGAGAAGGAGGAGGTGGAGGTGAGGGAGGAGGAGAGAGAGGAGGAGGAAGAGGAGGAGGAGGAGTCAGAGGAAGGAACCGGGAGGGCGGCGAAGACAGTGGCAGCTATGGGGGAGGAGGCGGCCCCCGGGTGGCACTCGCGGTAGCAGATGAGAGTGAAGGTGTCGAGGTTGACCAGTGACACCATGCCGTTGTCGTCGCCTATTGCCAGCCGACCCACGCCGGTGGCTAGCGCCACGCTGCGGACTTTCGCCCGGTGCTGGTGGAATTGGGCCACCATTTGAAAGCCCTCCTCGCACTCGCTGGGCGTGGCTGGTGTGTGCATTGGGGCGGGGTAGAGGCGGGAGGAGAAACGGGGGGTTTGAATGCTGCGCACCTTGTGGAACTGGGCCACCATTTGAAAGCTCTCCTCGCTCTCCTCGCTGGGCGTGGCTAGTGTTGGCAGGAAGAGGGGAGACGAAAGGAAAGCAGGGGCTTGGAGGAGGACCAGATGCTCCTGACAGAAGCATTCTTCCCTCTGCGCTTCAGTCAAACACCTCTACCCCCTTCCCTCACACCGTACCGTACCCCCTCTCACCTTTCCTCGCCCTCCCCATCACATCCTACCACCTGACTCGCCTTGCTTGTAGCCACTCCCTCACCTTGCTGGTAGCCGCCCCTTTCAGTGACGATCTGCCAGCAGCACAGCGTGCGGCGCCGCGTGCTGAGTTCAAACAGCTCCACCAGCCCGCCCTCATGTCCTAACACCAGCATGTTTCTCATCACCCATCTCCTTCCTCTCACCTTGCTCGTAGCCGCCCCTTTCAGTGATAATCTGGCAGCACAGGGTTCTCCGCCTGGTGCTGAGTTCAAACAGCTCCACCAGCCCGTCCTCGTGCCCCACCACCAGCAGTGCAGATACAGCGCAGAAGTCAACCGCCGTCACTGCTGTGTAGCTGGGTTGGTCGTCGCCCTGCGATTGGCACGGATGAGGGGGAGGGGGGGGGATGAGAGAAGGAGGAGGGAAGGGACTAGACATCACCCCACCAGCCCCTCCTCGTGCCCCGCCACCAGCAGCGCAGACACGGCGCAGAAGTCAACAGCTGTCACCGCTGTGTAGCTTGGTTGGTCGTCGCCCTGCAAGTTGTACGAAGAGTGGGGGAGGAGGGGGGTAGAGGATGGGGGAGGAGGAGGAGGTGGACGTGGAGGGAGGGAGGGGGAGAGGGGGTAAGGAGGGGGTTTCAAGGGAAAGGGCAAGACAGAACACCACCAGCCCGTCCTTGTGCCCCACCACCAGCAGTGCAGACACGGTGTAGAAGCCAACAGCCATCACCGCTATACAGTTGGGTTGATCGTCTGCCACGGGAAAGCGGAGCAGGTAAGTCCGAGACGTACAGTGGTCCGATATGTAGAGAGGCAAGGCACATACCGTCCTAATGCCAACTCTAAAACTCACGCCCCAAGAGCCACAAGCAGAACTAAGAGCGCACCTGATTCAAGTGAGCGGGCGGTGAAGCCAAGGGCCCAATGTGTGGGATAAGTCAGAGATGTGCGTGACGTTGTTGAGGTGCCCCGAGATGCTAGAGGCACAGCCCGACCTAGCACCGACCCTGACCCGCCCCCTAATACCCCAAGCCCCACGCGCTGACCCGTAGTTGACGAACCTGGTTCAAGTGCGCGGGTGCTGAGGCCAAGGGGACAATGAGCGGAGTCGACAGATCAGAGATGTGTGTAACGCCGTTGCGGTGGCCCGATATGTAGAGGCACAACCCGTCCTCTGGGGAGATCTCCGGCTGCTGGCCAAACGAGCCCCCAGCTACCGGCCACTTGGTGCCGTGCGAGAGAGCGGAGGGGCAGCGGGTCTCCGACACACGCGGGAGCTGGGAGGAAGGGCGGAAAAGCAGGGGAGGCGACGGGAATGCATGGTGACGGGAATGCATGGTGAGACCGCGTCCCGATAGACAGAGAGAGAGCAAGTAAGGTAGCGCCCCGCAGGGATTCAGCGCCCCGCAGGGCGTGAGCATGCCGCAGGGTGTGAGCGCCCCGGCGGGTGTGGTTTAAGATGAGAGCACGCGGGCAGCATCTGCGGCACCACCTGAGGCACCACCTGCAGGACCACCTGAGAGCAACAGACGGTCTCACCTGAGAGAGCACATGGGACGCCTGCATGCCCCAGGGCGCGAGCATGAGCCGGCCGGTGGTGACCGCTGACCCCGGGTTCTCAAACGACACGGGTTCAGGCGGAGCGGGTGCGTGGGAAGAGGGCGACGGGGAGAGCAGGCGCGCTGAGAGATGCTCCTCCATGCCCGGCTCGTCGTACAGATGCACCTGGGGGGGGTGGGGACAGGGGGGTGGGAGCGGAGAACAATGAGTGGAGCAAGGGCAATGCAAGGGGGGAGGGCGGCGGGGAGAGGATGCGAGGAGAGAGATGCTCCTCCTCCATGCCCGGCTCGTCGTACAGATGCACATGGGGTGGGTGGGGAGAGAGGGGGGGGGGAGGGATATTGACACACCAAGCAGACAGCACGGGATGACTCGGCAAACAGATGGGCTTCCGGCAGCAAGACAAGTGGTGGACTGAACCTGCCATGCATGCTGCACGCCTGCCTGTCCAGGAACACGCACACGACAATCGACAATCGCCTGCCTCGCTCCCTCGCGAGGCAGGTGCCACCACCAGGTCCACACCTGCCACTTGCCCCGCACCGAGTTCTGAGACGCCTCAAAACACCGACGCACCTGTCTGGGAAAGGTGAGCAGGAGGATCCCGGACGCCAGCATGCTCCCGAGCGTGGCGGGCGGCACCACCACGTCCGCCACGGGCCCAAACCACGGCAGCTTGACCATTCCCTACTCTACCTATCCGGGGAACATCTTATCTGTTAATACCTGTCCGGGGAAGGTAAGGACAAGAATCGCCGATGCACACATGCTCCCCAGAGTGCTGGGCGCCACGACCACGTCCGCCACGGGGCCGAACCACGGGAGCTTGACCATGGCCTTCTCTCTCATCCCCTCCTCCAGCCCCCCCAGCTGCACCACACTCACCGACCCCGGCAACCCCGGCATCTCGCCCCCACACACGTATAGCCTCCCCCCTCCCCGCTCCCCCACTCTCTCCCCGCCTCTCTCCAGCCCCCTCTCCGCCGCTCGTCTGGCATCGGCGCACCATCGCAGCGCCGTGATCGGCGACCGCTCCCCCTTCCCCCCCTGCACCTGCAGGCGAACCAACGGCTGGGATGAAATCTCCTCGCCTAACGCCTTCATTCCTCCGGGCGAGATGGGGAACTGGACCGACCCGGACGGGGCGGCGGCGAGCGAGGGGAGCGAGGGGAGCGAGGAGCACGACGTAGAGGGCGACGGCCCCGGCGTGCGCAGTGGCGGGTGCGGCAGCCCCCAGAGCGCAATCTCCCCATTGGAATACCCCACTGCGAAAACCGACCCGAAGGGGCAAGCCCACGACAAGCACGACACTTCTGGCCCCTCCCCATCCTGCTCGTCCTCCTCGTCCTCCTCAGTGGGCTTTGGCACGTTTCTTCTGCCCGTGAGGAGGTCGGCGAGGCGGTCTCCGGCTTCTGAGAGGCGCGTGCACTGCATCTCGGAGCCGCCGCGCGTGGCGAGCACACGCAGGGAGTGCAGGTCCCAGAGGGTGAGGATGGAGTTGGCGTACGCGAGGAGCACGCGGCTGTGGTAAGCCTCGGGCTGAGGGAGGATTCCAATGAGGGCTGGCGCTCGAGAGGAGTCTTGCCGGACGAGGCCGGCTGGAACAAGGGGCAGACAGAGGGGAGGACAGACAAACGGGAGAGGGGGACGGAAAGACGGGAGGGGAGGGAGTGGAGCGGGGGATATTTGAAAGATGTGAGCAGGCAGGGAGCACAGGGAGTGCAGCGAGTGCAACACGCGAAGGAAGTGCAGGTCCCAGACGGTGAGGATGGAGGTGGAGCAGGCGAGGAGGATGCGGCTGTGGTACGCCTCGGGCTGGGGGAGAATGCTGATGAGGGCTGGCGATCGAGAGGAGTCTTGCCGGACGAGACCGGCTGAAAGGAGAGATGGGGATGGGAGGGGATGGGGTGTTGTTGAGAACTCTCAAAAACACCCTGCAAAATCGGGGATGGGGTAAGGGCGATGGATGGAGGGATGTGATCATGTGAGTGTGAAGAGAGTGCCTCTACATCCCCTAGGTGCACTCTCGTAGGTGACTGGAGAGATTCCCAGAGGAGACTGGAGTAGGTGAGGTGAGGACTCTACGAGGTTGCACCAACGGGGTTACAATCCCATGAGGTTACAATCCCATAGGATTCAAGAAAGATGGTATGCCGAACCATGGTGATCAAGAGAGGGCTACTGACCCATGGTGACATAAGGAGGCACGGAGTATGGCCGTTTGTTAAGGCGCCCTCCTCCCAGCTCCAACACCGAGAAGACCCCAGTCTCGTCGCCCACATACCTGGGAAAGAGAATTAAACGGATTCGAACCGCAGATAATAAAGAGAAAGGAGGACAGAAAGAAGATATTTCACCAAGGGGAGGTCAGGAAGCAACGAGGGGGTATAGGAAGAAGCGGTATAGGAAGCAAAGAGGGGATTATGGAAAGCAACTAAGGGGTTATAACGAAGGGGTTACAGGAAGCAACGTGGGGATTAACACGCGACATGCATGGGGCACGGGCACGATACGAGTGGTTACAGGAGGTAGGTAGACAGTAGTGATTTTTTAGTCGACTCACAATACGTGGGGAACAAGTGGTTGCAGGAAGGGAGCAACGAATCGTGAATACAGGAAGCGACAGCAATGCTTACAGGAAGCTTGTATCGGGCACGGTGGAGAACGCAGTGATGTTGACCTCCCACTGCAGGGAGTCTGCCAGCTGGCGGTCGTTCAGCCGCCAGATCTGAGTGGACGGGGAGGAGGAGGGAGGAGGAGGGAGTAACGAAGGGAGGGAGGAAGGGAGGGAGGAAGGAAGGGAGGGAGGAAGGAAGGAAAGGAAATGGGCGGAAAAAGGGAAGAGGAGAGTCAAAAAGGAGAAAGAAAGTTGCCAAGAAACATACCCCCCGTCCCCCCCCCTCCCTCTCTCCCTCCTCTCCCCAACCCCCCTTCTTTTCTTTCATCCCCCCACGCCATAAATCCACTCACAGAGATAACCGCAACCACAACCACCCACCCCTACGGTGCTAAACATGGTGACCTGCACCGTGAATTCCAAGTCGGAGACAGAAACACATGCACATTCATGCACACACACAGGCATGGACACGTGTACACAAGACACTCACACTGCCATCCACCCACCCACGCACCTCTATGGCGTTGAACATGGTGACCTGCACCATGTACTCCGAGTTGCACACGAACTGTGGGGGAGAGGGAAGAGAAAGAGCAGGGGAAGAGAAGGCACAGCCACGGGTGGGAAGGAGGGGAGAGGAGGCAGCAGGGGTGGGAAGGAGGGGAGAGGAGGCAGCAGGGGTGAGTGAGACGGAAAGGGGAAACGAAAGAGACGCCAGCGTGCAGCACGTGAGTGGAACGAGAGTAGAAAGCGGCGTGGGGAGGCGCAGAGGAAGAAGGTGGGCGGAGAGCGCCTGGAGTGGGACTTGAGGCGGCCTGCACGTTGCCGCACCTCGAGGAACTTGCAGGCGGCCTTGGCGGGCGAGCAGAGCAGCGCCTCGATGCCATCGTGCCCGAACACCTTGATGCGCCCATCCCTGGGAATTGGGAAGAGGTAGCGGGGGGGGGGATGGGGGGAAGGGAGGGGGGAAGGGAGGGGGGAAGGGAGGGGGGAAGGGAGGGGGAAAGGGAAGCGGCGACGGGTGAGGAGGGAGCAGGGTGAGATAGCACAGGTGGGAGGAGCGCAGCGCATGGTGCAAAGATGAGCCCTTGAGTATCGCTGTAGGACATCGCAGTTGAGCGTTAGGGTGGGCTGACGAGAAGAGTATCACTGTAGGACATCGTGTGTAATGAGTCGATTTCTGAGTCGACTCATTACAGCACTGTACGACATCGCTGCATCGCGGCCAGCCAGGCACCTTAAGGCGAGCATCCGCTGGGAGAGGGTTTTGAGAATTCTCAAAAACCTAGAATGGCAGGTGGAGTGACTGACATGGTAAGACGTTGCCACGCGTGATGCTCTTGAGTCGAGTCAAAAGCAGATTGGCAGGTGGAGTGACATGGTAAGATGCTGCCACGTGCGATCACGACAGGGCAACACACCCTGCATCCCCTCCTCTCTGTAGCTACTACCTACGCCCTCACCTGGTCCCCACTGCCAGCAGCCGCTGCACGGGGTCGTAGGCGAGCACGGAGGCAGCGCCAGGCACGCCGTGATGCACGGCCAGCCGCGGCAGCAGATGCGGCGCCCTCAGGCTCCCCGCCGGCACGGACTGGGGAAAGGGGGAAGGGGGGAGGGGGGAGAGAACGGGGGAGGGGCGGAGGAGATGAAGACGGGGGAATCCGGCAAGGGACGTGGGGAGAGGGGGGAGGCGGAGGAGGCGGAGGAGGGGGTGGTGGATGGAGAGGGGGTTATGGTGAGCACTGGTTTTAGCACGGGGGAATGAGAGAAGGACCGGTGAATCCCAGTGAAGCCCGGGGATCGGGGATCTGAGGGTGGGGTGAGAGCTCTAGGGCCAGTTCTCGCTTCTCCCTGGCTAAACTTGGGCCTAGGCAAAAATGCCCTAAGTGCGTCGAGATTGCCGAGGCTAGATTTCCGGGGCGGAATGATGGCACTACGCTATGCTCGGCAGGCTGTGCGAAGCGAGGTAAGCGAATGCCGGTTACCACACCAGCACCGGTTGTCGGTAAGGTGTAAAGCGAGGTAACAACGAGGCCGGGATAGAGAATACTGCTTGTAACGAGGCGAGGAGAGACAATGCTGCTTGTAACGAGGTCAGGTAAGGGAGTCTCACATTGTTACAAGCAGCATTCTCTGCCTCGGCCGCATTGTTGCTCGCACTGTAGAAAAACGAAAATACTGCCTCGGCGAAGCTTAGGCTCATCGGAAACTGCTATCGCGCTTCTCTGTAACGGAGCGCACCAGCACACTCCTACGAGTATCTGCAGAACGAAGAGAGCTTATGTAACTCCGATGCTTTCGATTATCTAATCCTCGATTTCGTACGATAACAACAAGCTGCCGTATATCGAATGTCGTATCAGATTCTGATGGTAATTTAACCGCCTGTCCCTGGGATGGGACTCCTGCCGAGAAGCGGTCTGCTTGGAGACTAAGAACGTCGTCCTAGTGTTACGATAGATCGTGTTTCGTATCGCGGGAGATCGCTGCGCTAACGTCACGAGTTAGGGTTAAGCTAATTAAGGTTACGTGACCGATCGGCAGCCTTCCGAATCAGCTTTCGCAGTGCAAATGCGCCATAGGCGGCTTCGATAGTACCAACATTGCTGTGATTAACGAAACCCTAACTGGAAGTAGAACTGAGAGCCGCTGCGAGTGCCGATCTGGTGATCCAAGGCAGAGGACAGAGATATCGGTGGTGCTGTCAAGAGTTCGGCAATGTCGCACTAACGAGTGTGCGCTAAGCGAGAGGAGCTGTTACGCCGTGAAAGAAACAGTTCTAGGGTTTGGCACTCCCTAACGAGCATTGTCGAAGTCTTATACCAGACACCATACTTCCTCGGTCAGACATCGCTGGCGGACGCCAGTAACACACTCTCGCAGATAACCAGTATTCTGAACTCGTATTCTGACTTCCTTTTCACTCGTGGGCTACCCACCTCAGGCAGGGCCTTGGCTATCAACCGCTTGAGCATGGCTCCTTTCTTCGGCTGACCAGCGACCCTCCGCGAGGGTCGCGAAACAGAGACGCGATATGATTAGGGGAAACTGTTTCTATCGAGTACAATAAATAAAGCCCAATGTCATGACAAATGCAGCATTCTTCGGAGCGTCAGTGAAAGTTCGTCGTATACTGTGCGTGCTATGGTAACTTAGGTCGCGGCATTGTTCTAGCCAAGCCGCGTGGCAGCGTCTCTCAAGCGCGGAAAAATCGCCGAAAAAATAGGGCAGGAATGGGACACGAGCACGAGGAATAGTTGCCGCTAGTGGATAAGGGATAAGTACGCCCCGAGGACGTATTTTCAGGAAAGCACGAACTGTTTCGTTTCCCGAAATAAGTTGTGCCTCCCACGGGATAAAGGAAACTTCCTTACATTCACAAAGTGCAATAAAATTTATGCTCTAAATACACGTTTGGGGGATCGAATATCTGGACTGAAGCGCAGGGGATAAGCAGACTCTCGGAGTCCGCCACCAGCGGAGCAATACCGCACCCAGAAGATAGCAACGCAGACATCGAGGGCTTTTGGCTCCACTTGATGGTGCTTCTTGCTCCGCATACTGTACACGGGGAAGCCGTGGGGTCTCGGGTGCTACGCTCCTCCGCCAGCCCGCCTGCCAGTTGGGTGGCTCCCCCAAGACATGCCTCTTGTTTGGAATTGACTCGAAGCGAGGGGCGAAAAATCTGGCGCAAGTCGCGAACGAAGTGGTCAACTAGCGATTCGAGAAGGAAATCTGCGCGGCGAAAAGCACCTGCGACAGGACCCTTGGCAACCAGGTGTGGTTGGCGAAGCTTGCGAATCTAAAGGTTGTGGATAGGGAACACTCATCTTCTGAAGTTGGCGTATTACTTAGCAAGATCCGTTATATTCTTAGCCATCTTCAGGATTAAGGCATACAAAGCGCTAGCAACTAGTACTACCTCAACATCAAAGCGAGCCATGCTAACACAAAATGCATATCGGATCCCAATACACCAGAATCACATCGGAAAATAGTTCCTCATGTTCCTTATCGCCGCCTCATGCCTCGACCCCTTCCACGCATCCCACCACCTCCCCGGCCCATGCCACCCATTCCACCATCCTGTGCACTCTCGGACTGTTACGGGGAGGGGAAAAGGGTAAGGGACAGCGACATTATTGCAACACAATAACTAATGCACGGGGTAAAACCACAAGCAGCAAATGCTTGCAAATGTCACAACCACAAACTCGTTCCCAAATACCAGCCATTCCACCAGTGTGCCTTCCCTTCCCTACTCCCAGTCTCGAACCCAACCCCTATCCCTCTCTCACCTATGTGTTAAGGACCGTCTCATCGACACTGAGCACCAGACAGGCCATGCTCTCTCCGCCCCCCCCCCCCCTTTCCCCATCCATCACTACCCCTTAACCCCTGTCAATCCCCTCTCTCTCACCCGTGGGTTGCGGACTGTCTCATCAACACTGAGCACCAGACAGGCAGCTTCTGTTGCTGCAGTGATGGCATTCACCTGGGGGGGGGGAGGGGGGGGGGGGAAGAGTGGCGGAACAGCTAGACACTCTTAGCAGTACTCACACTCCTTCGAGCCCTGCTGTCAGTGGTTGGAACAGCAAGGGCATGTTGACTTTTAGACCTCCCTGCTGTTAGTAGTCAACAAGCCCCTTGCACACAAGACTCTCTTTGTAAGTTGCACCTAATGACTCATTCTGCATGGTGACTTACCTTGACCACAATGGGCTCCCACACAAATGACGCATATGTGTCCACAATGCCGCCCGAGTTCACGTCCACTCCAAACCGCTGCCCCTCGCCTGCAGGCACGAGAATGCATGAACAGAACACGAGGCACACGCACTCCAGCACAGACTCAGCATACGCGCCCCACGGACTTTTGAGTCGACTCAAAAGTCACTGAGCATACGTGCCCCACGTTCACATCAACTTCAAACCGCTGCCTCTCACATGCAGGCATTGAAAGGAATAACAGAATCACATGCATGCAAACACGGAACTTACCGGAAGGCAGGGCGTGCTTCCGTAAACCCCCCTCTCACTCACCCCAAGTGGGGTCTCAACCTACCAGAGGGCAGGGCGTGCTTCTGCCTGAGCTTGTTGAGCACGTCAGTGGAGTCGAACCCCGCATTGTCACACAGCTGCCGCGGAATCACCTGCACACACCGCGGTTGCACGGGATGGCGGAGAGAAGCTTGGCAAACGCGTTGATGAAGAGCTGCTGTGTGCTAGTGCTCTCAGTCAGCTCAACCACCACATCTAGTGCACACCACACCACCCACACACACACACACCACACCACCCACACGCACACCACACGCACACCACACCACCCATACACACGCACACCACACCACCCATACACACGCACACCACACCACCCACACGCACACCACACCACCCACACACACCACACCACCCACACACACACACACCACACCACCCACACACACCACACCACCCACACACACATACACCACACCACCCACACACACACCACACCACCCACACGCACACCACACCACCCACACGCACACCACACCACCCACACACATGCACACCACACCACCCACACGCACCTCTAGCGCGCGCGCAAACGCGTTGATGAAGAGCTGCTGCTTGCCGGCTATGGTGCGCGCATGCAGACGCAGGTGGCGGCTGACCTCCATCTGATGGGTCGGGGAGGAAAGAGTGGGAGGTTGCGAGGGAGGTGTGGGGAGAGGAAAGGGTTGGGGGTTACGAGGGAGGGGGTGAGGGGAGAGCGAGAGGCTATGGTGCGTGCATGCAGATGCAGATGATGACAGGGTGGGCTGGAGGCGATGGGGAACAACCACGTAAATGAGCCCTCATTCTCCATACCGTGAATACAAAAGCCACATGAAAGAGAATGAGGGAACGTTGAGATTGCGTAGAGAGCTCATTCCACAGAGCATACATACATGAATGATACCTCCCCCAGATAATCAGAGAGTACGTGCATCAACAGCGTTTTCCTCAGATATGGCAGAAGACATGCACACCAGTAGCACCTCCCCCAGATAAGGCGAAGAATACGTACGTCAATGGCGCCTCCCCCGGGCACCACTGCAGCGTTCTTGATGGCGCGCCTCACGATCATGATGGCGTCGTGCAGGCTACGCTCCGCCTCCTCTATGAACTGGTGGGGGGAGGAAGGAAGGGAGGAGGGAGGGAGCGGGAGCAAGGGCGGGGAGCGGGGAGTGGGCACAACCTCAATCACGCCTAACAATCATGATGGCGTGGTGCAGACTGCACTCCGCCTCCTCTATGAACTGGTGGGCACAAAGGAAGAGGGGGGTGAGGAGAGGGGGGAGTTGGGGAGTCTAGTTTTGAGGCGCCTCAAAACTGGAAGAGGGGGGTGAGGAGAGGGGGGAGCTGGGGAGGGGAAGCAGCAGCACAAGGACGACAGCATAGACGGCGTTGCGATGGCGCACTGATGGCGTCGTGCAGGCTGCGCTCCGCCTCCTCTATGAGCTAATGGGAGGTGGGGTGAATGGGGGAGCGATAGCAGGGGATCAGTTAAGGGAGTGCAGCTTTTGAGTCGACTCAAACATTCTCTATGAACTGATGGAAGGTGGGGTGAATGGGGGAACGATAGCAGGGGAGCGGTAAGGGAGTGCAGCTGATCCATAGAGCAGACGAGAGTGTCTCCGAAACATGATGACGTCATGCAGACTGCGCATGCATGCTTCCTCTATGAATGAACTGATAGGGGGAGCAGGGGGAGGGACGGAGAGAGACGCCGCAGGGAACGAGGGCAAGAGGGGCATATTGTCTCACAAAGATGATATGAGCGATCATCCTTCCTGTCAGCCCCTCAAGCTCAAGACATGCCCCTCAAGCTCAAGACATGCCCCTCAAGCTCAAGACATGCCCCTCAAGCTCAAGACATGCCCCTCAAGCTCAAGACATGCCCCTCAAGCTCAAGACATGCCCCTCAAGCTCAAGACATGCCCCTCAAGCTCAAGACATGCCCCTCAAGCTCAAGACATGCCCCTCAAGCTCGAGACATGCCACGCTCTCCCCTGTGTCAACACCACACGCCCACCTGGTCCGCCCCCACTAGAATCGTCACCACTGCCCCCCCGCCCCTCACCTGGTCCGCCCCCAACCACCCCGCCCCTCACCTGGTCCGCCCCTCCCCTCAGCACGATGGTGGCAGTCTTGGCGTTGGAGCACCCAGTGAAGAGGTTGTAGCGCTCGTTGCCAACCTGCCGCTCCTCGAACAGCGCGCAGCTGCCAAGCACCTGCACACGTTGTAGGGGGTAGAGAGGAGGCTTATATACATAGACACCAACCTGTGAAGAGGTTGTAACGCTCCTTGTCAACCTGCCGCTCCTCGAACAGCGCGCAGCTGCCAAGCACCTGCGCACGTTGTAGGGGGTAGAGAGGAGGCTTATATACATAGACACCAACCTGTGAAGAGGTTGTAACGCTCCTTGCCCACCTGCCGCTCCTCGAACAGCGCGCAGCTGCCGAGAACCTGGAGCAGGTGTGGCGGGTTGAAGGTTTAGTGTTAAAGGTTTGGGGTCCAATGCGTGGAGTCAAGTTTCTACTGCAAGCAGGATGTAAGTAGCAGCACGCTGCATCACAACAGTTGCATCATGGCTGCATCACAACAGTTGCAGCCCACCCTAACGCTTAATGGCATCATGGCTGCATCCGTGCGCACACTTTGGAGCACAGAACACACGTCAGGAGGAATGAGGTCGTTCACATCACAGTGGTCTGCCCCCCCCTCCCCCCCTTGGCCACTCGCTGCACTCGCCCCCACCCAACCATGCTATTATGAAGCCGCCAGCGAGGCAGAGCAGTCACATCCGGGATGAGGTCATTACAGTCATCTGCGCGGCCCCCTGTGTTGTGTGACATTGTAACGAGGTGTCTTTTGAGTCGACTCAGAAGTCACCGCGAAGCACAGCACTCACATCCGGGATGAGGTCATTACAGCCATCTGCACGGCCCCCCTGTGGCCTTGGCCATTCCCCCTGCCGGTGAATACTCATGGTGCAGCAAGATCCCAACCACACGAATCACACTGCCACTCACATCCGGGATGAGGTCGTTCACAGTGGTCTGCACGGCCCCCCCCGTGGCCTTGGCCACTCGCTGCATGTCGTCGTCTGCCACTCGCCCCGCGCAGAAGATGTCCCGGTCAGCAAAGTACTGCCATGGGGAATGGAGGGTGGAGGGGTGCGGGGTTGTGGTGGAGGAGAGGTGGTAAGGTGGGAAATGACAGAATCCATAGATCTCGCTGCATGTCCTATGGGGTAAGGTGGTCTGCCACTCGCTCTGTGCAGAAGATGTCCCGGTCAGCAAAGTGCTGCCCACAAGCGCAATGCAGTGGGGGAATTTTGAGGCGCCTCAAAAGCAGTGGAGTGCAGTGGAGTGGAGTGGAGTGCAGTGGAGTGCAGTGGAGTGCAGTGGAGTGCAGTGGAGTGCAGTGGAGTGCAGTGGAGTGCAGTGGAGTGCAGTGGAGTGCGGTGGAGTGCAGTGGAGTGCAGTGCAGCGGGGGAATGATGGCGTGGTGGAGCTCAAAGGCCTTGCTGCGTTTGACCATTCGCGGCCTTGCTGCTCAAAGGCCTGGCTGGCTGCATGCCATGCTCTGCCACCACGCGTCTACGATCAACCACTCGCCGCCCATCATCACCTCATCGCAAGGTCTCTCACGTGCGTCGCGAGATCCCCAATAGCGAGATGAGAGAGCACGATCTTGGCGCCGCTCTGCACGCATTTATCCAGCTTGAAGTAGATGATGTTTCACTCGGCGTCCACGATCACAGCCTCGCCCCCCTATCACCTCATGGCCTTTCACGCGTGCCTCCATACCTCAGTGGCCAGATCCCCAATAGCCACGCGTGAGAGCACAATCTTGGCGCCGCTCTGCACCCGTTTGTTGAGCTTGGGAGATGATGTTCCACTCGGCGTCCACTCGCACAGCCTCATCCCCATACCACTACCCAAACCCTGTTCTCCCCTCTCACCTGGGTGGCCAGATCTCCAATGGCGAGGCGTGACAAGACAATCTTCGCCCCACTCTGCACGCATTTATCGAGCTTGGAGTAGATGATGTTCCACTCGGCGTCCACGATCGACTGGTACTGCGACGGGTCCGTCAGCCGCACCTCCGCGTTCTCCTTCTCGCTCTTCAGCTCCAGCTCAATGTTCAAAAGGAGGATCTTGGGGGCCTCGAAGCTCTTGGGCTGCTGCTCAAAGCCTGCATACGAGAAGGTCTTCTTGAAAGCGACACCCTCCACCAAGAAAGAGTCACGCATTGTCCCGCCTGGCACCTGAGAGAGAGAGAGAGCGGGTGAGTGATGCGGGTGAGACAGGAGAATCTTCAGGGGCTCGAACCGTTGAGACTTCTGGGGCTCGAACCGTTGAGACTTTTGGGGCTCGAACCGTTTGGGCTGCTGCTTGAAGCCTGCGTGGGAGAAGGTTCTCTTGAAGGCCATTCCTTCGGCAAGGAACGAGTCACGCATCGTGCCTCCCGGGACGTGAGGAGGAGTGGGCGGAAGGAGGGAGCAGGTGAGACAGTATAAGCAGTCCAAGCCCCTTTTCTCACCCTCTCACCTTCTTAATGCCATTCATCTCCCTCCACTTTCCTCCTCCCAACCTCTCACCCCCTCGCGTTCTTGATACCAATCATGCTGATGGGTGGGAACGTCCTCGTCCAGCGAGCACCACGCGTCCACCACCATACGATGCGATGCGAGAGAAGTAGCCCTTCTCGCCGCCCACAAGAGCAGCAGCACTTCCCCACCCCCCCTCTCACCTCCTCAATGCCCCTCGCCCCTTCTCCCCCCCTCTCACCTTCTCAATGCCCATCATGTTGAGTGGCACGTCCTCGTCCAAGGAGCACACCGTGCAGCGCTTCCCTCCTCTCACCCCCTCACCCCCTCACCCCCGCACCTTCTTAATGCCAATCATGTTGAGCGGCACATCTTCATCCAAGGAGCACACGGCGTCCACCACCATGCGCGCGAAGAAGTCCTTCTCGCCGCCGACCAGCTTCGAGCTCAGCGTGGTCGCCGCGCACTTGTGCAGCAGCTCGCGCTTCTCGCCCTCCGCCTTGCCCTCGATGGAGATCGCCACCTCGCGCACCTTCTCCACCGCCTGGGGGGAAGAAAGAGGAACACAACAAGCAGCTAGAAATAATGAAGGGGAAACCACCCGTGGCCTCTGTCGGCTGAGGAAGAAAAAATATATAAAAAAACAAGCAGCTAGATCGTAGAGGTAAGGGAACTCACGAGGCGAGCAGCAGCGCGGAACGCCCGGCATATGAGCTGCGGGTGCACGCCCTCCTCCACGAACGGCTTGGCCTGTCGCAGGAACTCGCCAGCCAATAGCGTCACTGTGGTCGTGCCGTCGCCCACCTGAGGGGTCATTTGAGAAGGGCAACACCCAAACAGCAGCAGCAGCAGCAGCAGAAACAGCAGAGAAAACGTTGGAAGGGATCATCTCGTTCAGACGAACCGGCACTTCGATCGGCTAAAAAACGGGACTGGGAGACATGGACGACACAAAGACGCAGGGAAGCGGGCCTCTATTAGATCAGGAGCCAATTCTGAACCCCAAACCTCGAACCAGTCTCAGGCGCAAGCGTAGTGGACGGAGGTTTGAGGCGTCGTAGAGTAGCATGTTTGAGGAGATCCAACAAACCTTCGCTCGCCTCATTCCCCCGCCTAAACCACTTTCTCCCAACCCCCGATCACACCCCAACTCGCAAATCCGGCGAATTCCGCGAGGGTTTTCGCCGGCAAAAAACACAGCACCATCCCTGCCAGCACCTCGTGCCTGATCATCTTTGACGCACCTCATCGTCCTGTGATCTGGCGATATCCACGAGGGTTTTCGCGGCGGGGTGCAAGATCTCAGCAGCTTGAGGATGGTGGCTCCGTCGTTGGAGATGTGCCCAGAGACCACCTTGACAATACCATCAGCACACCTACATCAACGTCTTGCACCGCACCTCATCGTCTCACACCGCACCTCATCGTCCTGTGATCTGGCAATATCGACGAGGGTTTTCGCGGCGGGGTGCACGATCTCCAGCAGCTTCAGAATTGTGGCTCCGTCGTTAGAAACGTCTCACGAGTCCGCCTGTTCAGCACCATCAATGCAAGCACCTTGTCGCCTTATGACGTACCTCACCGTCTCGCACCGTGCCTCATCGTCCTGTGATCTGGCGATATCGACGAGGGTTTTCGCGGCAGGACGCATGATTTCCAGCAGCTTCAGAAGGGTGACTCCGTCGTTGGAAATGATTCCAGAGACGACCTTGGCAATTACCATCAGCACACGTACATCACCGTCTTGCACCGTACCTCATCGTCTCGCACCGTACCTCCTCGTCCTGTGATCTGGCGATATCGACCAGAGTTTTCGCGGCGGGGTGCACGATCTCGAGCAGCTTGAGGATGGTGGCTCCGTCGTTGGAGATGGTGGTGTTGCCGCGCTCGTCATGGATCAGCTTATCCATGCCACGTGGACCCAAGGTTGTGCGGATCGTGTCCACGACAGCTAGGCACGCGTTGATGTTGCTGATCAGCTGCGGCTTGCCTTGCGATGTATCGGTTCCGTCTTTAAGGAGGATGATCTGCGGTTGCTGTTGATGGTCACAGGAGAGATCGAACAATGGAAGGGCAAAAAGGGGGAAGGAGCGAGTCCAAGGATCTGAGATCTCACTATTTTGCTCTACAGTAGTCGCAACAGTGCGAATCGTGTTTCGGTCCACTGCCGTCCCTATAATTCGGAACCCTGCATGGTGATTCACAGCACTACTTCTACAAATCCGGAGCCCGCTATCGGTCAGCTCACTGGAAAGCGCTTGGCTGCTATAGATTCACTTACCATCATTCCCATTCCCGCCATGGCGAAAACGTGTCTTAGCGTCAAAGCGTGCACTCGCGATGATCACCACCTGTACTGAGATCCCGATCCCTGAGAATTCACACACGCAGTGACCTGGATAAGCTGACGCGAGCGGGCTGCGAGAACAGCTGAAGCAAGGAGCTAGTAGCCTAGGATGATGCCGTCTCGTCAGAGCGTCAGATTCAGATGCACTTCGAAGCCCGACCTTGCTACAAGAAAGAACTCAAAGCTGTGCGGCTGATGAGCAGGGAGAAAACCAATGTACAGTAATAACCTGAATATTGTCTAATGTACAGTCAATGCCAACCTATATTGGGCCACTATTTGACAAAGCCGCCGCCATCTTGGTATTTGCGCAAGAACGTTCATGGGATGAATGTATCCCTTGTATATATGTTTTATAAACTTATTAGAACTATAGAAAAACTAGAAAATCATGAAGGGAATGTGCTTTGTAGCTAACGTACACGATTCATAGAAATGGAACAATCCATAGATATATCGAAGTATTTTGTGTCCACACGCCGTTAGCGCGGATTCTCGAAATGAATTCATGCTGGAAATGGGGGAATCAGCTGGTCACTCACTTGACACGCTCGCCCGCGTCATTACTGTGTCATTCCGCTATTGCTCCAGGTCAACGATAACCAAGATGGTGCCACGACACCTCCAATAATTCTCCCGCCAAATCCTAGAGATTCCATGCTGAGGAGGCTTTGATTGACGTGGCACGAGTGCTAGTCTTCTCTGCGTGGAACTGGCAGAAATTCACTGTCCACTGGAAATCCGCGCCCCCTTACACTCGGACTCGTCTCCCATTCCAGCCTTGGCCAGATGCCTATATACCTGCTAAGTTGGTTACATTTCTCTTGACGTTCAGAAGGCCACGGATTCCTCTGTTCCATCACCGCTTTTCTTAGGAGGGCCCCTTCCCTCGTAGCATAAATTAGTCGCCAGACGACGACTGGCTCTTAAACCAGGTTCCTGGCCTCGCACCGACGCTCACAATGGCTGCTTCCATTCTTCTTCCCACGTCGGCTTGCACAAAACTGGCTGATTCCGAGCTTGCTGGAATGCGGCTGGAAGCCAAGTCATTGAAGTCGATCCCTGCCGGTCCACGGATTGCGGGATGGAGATGTGAAGCGCCTAACGAGGATTACACGACAAGAAGGTAACTTACATAGAATAGCTCTTCTGAAATCCGTGTCCGCAGTCTAATTTCTTGCGTTTTCTACCTCGATTGCGTAGTTGAAAGCGTTCGTTTGGGGTTACAGAACTGCCTTCATCTCTAATGATTTCACTGGTGTACAACTGCAGGGCGCTTGTGGCTGTGTCCGGGGCTGCTCTTATCGGCGCATTGGCTCTACCCCAGAGTGCACAAGCAGCACGGAAGAAGCCTCCTCCTCAGGAGAAGGAAGAGAAGACAGACTTGAAGGGGTACCAGGCCAAGGTGTATGAGAACATGAAGCGGAAAGAGGCTCTCAAGGACAGAGTCGCTGCTTTGAAGAATCAGTGAAAGGACCAACGTTTCGTCCAAATGGAATGTCCTGGTGAGTTTTATTTTCCGGAACAAGCTATGACGGTAGTAATGAGGAACACCGCACAGCACCAAATACCGCTCTGTTATTAGAAGTGGATGGCAATTAGAAGAGTTGTATGCAACCATGCAGTTGGTTGGGGTGTGAAGGGAACCTGGAATGTTGGTGTCTCATTTAGGACGAGTGGAAAGTGCTGCGAGCACAGGTTTTCTGAGCAACTACGAAAGGATTGTCATGGTGGAGAGTTTGTGAGGTGTGAGAAGATATGAGGTGGAAAAATGGTTTTTCCAATGTGAAGCATTCTGAAAAGTGCATGATGTGATGTGTACTGTTCATTCAAAAACAAAATAGCTGATTTATGAGCAGTTCGTATTCTTCACAGAACTTCTGCAATCATGGGGAAGTTGCACTGAAAAGTGTGGCAGGCTGTTCGTTAGCATTACCTAGTCTTTAGTGAGAGATGTCAGGTCTTGCACAGGTTAATTACATTTATTAGGTGTGACAATGGATTTCTTCCGTCACGGATTTTGTTGAATCGAGTACGTCCGGAGGGATGTGGATGTCAAGCTAACGAACATATTGGCTGAATTGCTCCCCCAAGCATCGACAGTTTGCGCAGCCCCCGCCAGTGTGCATGCAGCAAGTCAGGAAATTGCAATGTTGGGGGAAGCGCTCTCCCGAACAGCCAGACGATTGCGCAGCAGGGCTCTCGGTTCAAGGGTAAACATCCGGAATGTCAGGTGCATTCCGGATGTTTTCACCTGGAATCCGGATTTTGAGGGTTTCGGTCTGGAAATCCTCCTGAATGATTCCGGACGATTTTGGGAGTCCACCTGAGCCATCCGTGTTCCGCGAAAATTTCTCATGGCCATCCGAGTAGTCTGGAAAATCCCCCGTGCCGGAATTGGAGCAGTCGACCCCCCCCCCCCCCCCCCCCGCCCCGGCCCCATCTTTCGCGCCGTTGGCCGAATTCTCACGCTTTCAGTGCCACGCAACGCAACACAATCTGATGAGCGACTTGTGGAAGGCGCAAAGTTCAAGGCAGTCAGACCAATCACAGACTGCCACTAACAAGCTGCACAACTACATGACAGAATGTGGCACGCACTCTCATGCTTTGCCCTCTCAAACTCCGCTGCTCCTGCTACGAATCTGACGCGCGAAAGCACACTTGGCGAATTCTGTCATTCATCCTTCCCTCCACCCCTCCCTGCTGCGGTTTGTCGCAACGCAACGCAATTCTAGTATACCGCATCACACACACACACACACACACACACACACACACACACACACACACACACACACACACATACACACACTTTGGCGAATTCTGCTCAATCACGTTCATGACAAGCCATAACGGTAATTTGAAGCAGTGCGATGCACCGTTGCACTTGATCGTAACGTGACCATATTTCGCCACGATGCCAGCCAACTCTGTGTTGCTCCCTGCTCAAACATGGGAGCGCGCATTGCCCGCATCGCTCTTTCAACACCCTTTCCTGCACGGTGCCTCAACGCGAGAAGTGGTTTGTTAGGCTATGTGCACTCTAACCGAGGCATGGGCAAGGTGGCTATCAGCTTGAAAAGGCACAGCAAAGTCTCAAGTTAGCTAACTGTAGAGAGAAGGCAGCCTCTCATGGCTGACAACACCACCCCTGCAGCAGACCCCGTCGTTGTCCCCTTGCAATATGTCACTGATGACCCCAAGGACATAGGCAGTGAAGAGCCCTCAGTTGAGCCAACAGTCGAGGTAATGTCTGATGATGATGAAGCAACTGAACCTCTCAACCTCACGGAGGGCGTTCTTGAGCCAGAATCTGCTAGTGAGGATGAAGCCGCTGTTTCCCAGGCTGGTACTAGAAGAAGGTATCGTCAGACCATCCTTCCATTCGCACCTCCTCCTGAGCCTAGGCGCCGCCGCACCACTGTCCCTGAGCCCACGGAGGATGATGCTCCTGTTGATAACGAGGGCGACCCCATTCCTGCAGCAGAGCGACTCATTGCCCGCCGTTACCGCTGTGAATGGCGGGACCACTTTGAGTGGCTGCGCCTCGAGTACCACAAACCTTCGCACTAGTATGGCTTGAAATGCACCATTTGCTTGGAGCATGGTGACGACGGGGGGCACACACGGTATGGCAGGAATGGTCTCGGTGCTCGGGACTTCCAGAAGACTAGCATCCGCTCCCACCAGCGTTCACGTGGTCATCAGTTGGCTGTTTCACGGAAGAACACGGCAGATGGCACGGAGCGAAATCAGAGACGCATGACTCAGTACGCGGACTCCGACGCTGTGAAACGACACATTGTTCGCTGCATCCATGCCGCTTACTTTGTGTGCCGCAATGATGCACCGATCCTGCTATATCCAACTCTTGTCCGCTTCTTGGTGGACGAGGACATTCCTGACATGGCTGGCTCAGAATCCTACGGCCGCTACTTTTCCCAGTGGGTTGCTACTTTTTGCTGCACCCTTGTGTTGTTTTGCTGCTGTAATGAGTGAAGCATGTCCTTGTTTGTTGTGCCATTTTTTTATCGTAAACTTAACACGCAGGTTTACACCTCTTGCGTCTGATGTGTACATGGCAGGTATGCCATGAATGAGTTCACTACAGCGTTGGCACAGCATCTTCAGGACAAGCAATTGCGCTACATCAGGGAGAGTCCATGGTATGGGCTTTCTCTTGATGAGTCCACGAACCGTGCGCACGGTAAACACATGATTGTTTACATGTCGTATGAGAGGGACCGACAGGTTGTCACACAGTTTCTCGCTTTGCTGTCAGTGGAGAGGGCAGATGCCGAGTCCCTCCTCGCGGCTCTCAAATCCTTCTTGGAGTCATGCAGCATCCCGCTAGACAAGCTGGTCGGGATCTCCACCGACGGGGCTTCGGTGATGACCGGACAGGAGGCGGGGCTGGTGGCACGCTTGCGACAGACCTGCCCATGGCTTGTTTCAACACATTGCATTGCCCACAGGTGACCAAAAGCTAATACTATACATGTTGGAAATAGGAGCACTTAATAGCCTTTCCACTTACAACCTATATGTATTTGAAAGTCATTGGAAGCCTCATTTAATGTCTCATTACATTGTTTTCTACACTTCACATGGAGGCACTAGCTGCCAAGGATGCAGCATCCCGGATGCCTGACTTCAACCCGATCGACACACAAGTGAGGAGCACTGCTGAAATTCTGGGAAGGTCTCATGTAAGGCGCCCGAATTTCCTCCGCTTGCAGCAGGAGATTCTCCGCACCCAGCTTGAGGTTCGGGGAATGTACAACGTGCGGTGGCTACCCCGAGGACAAGCCATCAACAGGTTTTGCGACGTGCTGCCCGCTCTTCTGTGGCTATGGAACGAGGAGGATCACAGCCTGCTCAAAACAGGAAGCTCTTGCAAGTTCTTGTTTATGCTCTTCTTCATGGCAGACGTGCTTGTCATGCTGAACACCCTTAACCTGCACTTCTAGGAGAGGCAGGTGGGATGATTGCAGTTGTTTATGGTTCTTATTTTTTTCATTCATCATTTCTTCACCTTATCTTCTCCATAAATTCTATCCTTAGGTTGAAATCACGGGTGTCAAGCGCTGGCTGGAGGATGTGTGCATCCAGCTAGCACAACGCTACGTCGAGCCTAACAACCAGTTTGGCGCTGGTGTTAGCCCTCGGCTGTCCCCTTTCCTCTCCAAGCACGGTCCTGCAGAGTGTCGCAAGATGGTGATTGAGGGCTTTGCTGCAGATGGTTCGCCCACGACCCGCACCATAATCCTGCATGAGCGCTCAATTGGCGGCACCTATGGTACCGATCAAGCTTCATGCGAGAAGCTTTGTGCTGAGTATGCTCTCGGCTCATTGCAGCTCTCAACCGCCGCCTTGGTGACCTTCGCAGCCTTGATGGGGCGCGCTTTTTCCGCCCTCGTGAGTACCTGCCGAGGGCAGGAGAGCGAGAGACTTCATTCGACGTTTGGCTGCAGCAGCTAGCGGACTTGTTTCATGGCTGCCTCCCTGGTTAGTAATAAGTTAATAATGCATTTGTGGCTGACATGTTGTATCGCAACTTGCAATGCTGAACGTTGAAGGTTGAGTTTTGCAGGATTCGATTTGCAAGAGGCAAGGATCGAGATCCGCTTCTTCACTGCAGTTTTGGAGAGGCGGTACATTGGCCAGAGTTTCCAGCAAAGCCTGGCCAATATGCTCGCCAACGAGGACTGGGGCGCGTACTACCCGAACATCATGAAGCTATGGCGCGCTGTCGCCGTGCTCCCGCTAAGCACCGTCGAGTGTGAGCGGGGGTTTTCTAGGCAAAACATAATTAAGAGTTGGGGTCGCACTTGTCTTTCTGACGTGCGCCTGGGGGACCTTATGGCTGTGAAGATGCTTGATTTCGATGTGGACTGGATGGAGGTGCATGATGTTTTCATGTCAATGCGCAGGAGGAGGCCCGCCCTTGATGGTTTCAATGGGACTTCAAACGATGGCTGAGATTTAGGCGGCGCAAAATGACTTGCGGCATCTGATTCTTGAAGCTCTAGCACGGCAATTTGTTTCTTCCTCCCTCTTAGCCCCCCTACTATCCCTCTGTTAGGCTGCTCTTTTCTTGAACGTTCGTACGTAGGCATTTCTTTCGCGAGGACTTTCTGTAGTTTGCAGGCTAGCTGGAGTGAAGTGTCGAATGAGGCTTTGTCTGGTGGTGTGGTGTTGGTGGAGTAGCGGGCGGCAAGTGTGTCATGTCATGATTGTTTCAACTGTTGCGTGTGGATGTTTCAGTTTGGTCTGTTGGTTGGACTCACTTGCTCTTGCCTCTCCGGATTCGATAATCCGAAGTCCCTCAAGTATGTGACAATTCGGGTTGCCCAAAACTTGTTCTGATGTGCAGGGCGATCCGTAATAACATTCTGGATTTCAGATTTGAACTCCGGCGTCATCCTGAAAAAAAAGGGATTTTCCCAAGGAATCCTGATTTTTCAAGGTCCTCAGGAGCGCGAATCCTGTTTCCTCTGGGTCTTCAAAAACGAAAAATTAGCCCTGTTGCGCAGCCCTTGGGGGACGCTCCCCTGACATTGAAGAAAGCGCTTCCAGATTTGGCGGCGCTCCCGCCCAGCCTACTGGGGCTGAAAATGTGGCGAAGTTACCCATATGGTTTGCGAAAAATCTGCAGGTTCGTCAAAATGAAGTGTACACTCATCACGCTTTGATTGAGGTGTTTTCATTCATCGCAGCCGAAGCCATTTTGTCGCTAAAGGAGCTCGCATTTCGCGACTCTCTTCACGCTTTCGTCACTTGGCGGACCCTAAACGCGCGGCCGCGGAAGCTGTCGCCGCTTGGGCAATTTGGCCCGCTTTGCCGCGGAA